AGGTGCCATAAAAGGCAGGAGATCCCTTGCCTGGCACACGCCGCCCCCACAGCCCTCATCCGTCAGCTCCCTTCCCGCTCAGGCAGGGTTTTATTCCCAGCTGTTAGGATAATGAATTTACATGAGCTGATCATGTAGACAAGACTCCAGTCAATGGCTGAGAGCGCAGAAGTTAATAAATGCCTCTATAATGAGGGCAGAGGCGAGGGGAGAGGCAGAGAGCTCGGGCTCGCTGGGTGTCTCTCGAGGCCACCGGGGCCAAAGATTAATAAATGCTGAGTGACACTCCAGAACCACCGCCCTCCCCTTCCATCTTCCCCAGGATTCGGGCCACTCAAGTGCTTGGCTTTCTCCCTGCCTCTTCCCCGTCTCCCCACAGACGTGCAGCAGCTGCTCCTGCGCTAGTTCTTGCCTTCTCAAGCATCCCTGTTCAATGCACACGTAGGCCCCCTGTGCGTGGCACCGTGCCTGGAGACCTGCTGGCGGTGCAGTTGTTGTCTCACTGCAGTAGGGCTGTGTCACATAGGGCACTGAGGAGCTGCAGAGGCCGGGGGGGTGGGGAAGAAAGGAAGCTGGAAAGGGTTTTTGTTTGGTTTTTACATTAGAAATTCGCCTCCTGTCCAGCTGGGGAGAGTCTGTGGTGACCGGAGAGCGTGTGACAGCCAGAGGGAAAGCTGGGTGGCCGTTGGTTTAGCACTGCGCCTGAGTGCTTGGCTGTTGACACGCATCTTACTCCAGTGGCCAGTGAGCATGCTGGAGAAAGGAAGTCTTGGCTAAAGATGGCTCCCTGCCCCCTCAGCCCACGTGCTGTGAGACACGCCGGCTGCTCGCCAAGGGCAGCCCGGTTTGCCGTGCCGGAGATTTCTGAGGCGAGACGGCCTGTGTGGAGAACTAGCCTGCTGTCCGGTGCAGAGAAGGGCAGAATGGCACAAGCTCCAGGGTTTCACGGGCCGCCTTTGCAGAGCCTGCTAGCGCCTCAGGTCATGGCCCAGGCCCAGCTGCAAAATGGAACCAGGCCTCAGCCAGGCAGTCGTGAAGATGGGCCCTTCCTGAGGTGCCGTCCGGGGATTGCGTTGAGTGGGGAAAGGCTTCGAGCCAGGCCTCACCTAGACTGCGTGTGGAACGTGCTAGGAGGCTGGGCCCAGCTCTTGTTCCCAGCCTGGTTCTCTGGGCTCCCTGGTCCCGTTGGTTGGGCTGTATCCCCCAGAGCCCGGTCGCTTAGCGCCCCAGAGGCTTGATTAGATGGGGCCTTCCTCAGATGGAGACAACCCCGGAGCTGGGCTGAGGGGTGAGGTGGCGCCATGCAGCTGGGACAAAGCGCAGCCTTTGTGCCCTCGCTGTCATCTGGCCCCCTTAGCGCCCAGCCGCTCTGCGGCAGAACTCTGGCTGGGCCTCCGATGGGAAGGGCTCCTCTGGGCAGCCGGGGAGAGGGAAAGTCCTGGCTCCAGTGGCCACAGCAGATGGGAGCCGGGTGTGGGGGTCCCCCCTGTGTGTGGAAGATTCCCAGGTTGGAGAAGTCCCTTGGAAGGTGCCAGGGCAGGGGGGGATAATAGGGGAGCTTGTAGATTGAGGTGATTTGGGGGAAGCTGTGACCTGCCCCCTGGGGTCACATCAGTGCCAAGTTCCCTCTGAACCCAGTGGCATTTTCCTGGTGTGCCCCCTCATCCCCTCTCCTGCTTGGCCACCTCCATGCCCAGGAGAGCCAGACACACAGCTTCCCTGGGGGGGGCCGCCGATGCAGGGACGGCAGCCTGGGGCAGAGAGCCCAGAGGAGATTGTTGTGAGGCAACACGCCCTGGCCTCCCGGGGCTGATGTGGGCTTTCCGGTGCTCTGCAGCCTGTTCTGAGTGCAGGAAGGTGGCAGGCACTGTCCCGGCACTTGGAGCCCCTGGCCGGCCTCCGGTCAGGGATATCATTCTGACTGTCTGGTCTGATCCCTGCCCAGCCCCAGGAGGGCCAGATAACTTCCCCCAGGGCGTCCTGCAACAAACCAGTTCTGTCAGGTGCGGCGGTAACGCCCCACGGCCCCGTTTGAACCCAGAGCTCCGGCTGGAGCTACAAGCCGAGAGAGCAGCCGGCAGAGTAGGTCTGACTGCAGTGAAGAGTGTTCATGGGCGGCTCTGACGGATCACTGCTTGGGCGCCGGGCAGCTCCTGCCAGCCTGTCCGCCAGAGGCACAGAATCTATGCCCCAGCCTGCCCTTTCCTGGGCAAATGGGGCCTGGCACAAGCTGGCAAGAGCCTGCCTGGCTCTGAGCTCACCCAGTTACCCTGGCTGTCCTCCCCTTGCAACTCTTCCTGGCGCCCTGTTGCTGGCAGGTGAGCCAAGCCCTGCCCCGTCCATAGCGAGTGCTAAGGCCCCAGTGTCCGCAGTGACACTGCAGCGCAGGGGCGGCCCCAAAGGCTAGGAATGTTCTCCTGGCGGGAAGGGAGGGCGGGCGACGATGGCTGTCGGTGTTCCTGTCTCTGCAATGGCCCTTCACCCCATAACCCTGGATTCCCACCTGGCTCAGGGCATGGGGGCAATGGGTGTGAGGGGCTAATGGATGTTTGTTCTGCCACAAAACAATTCTTTCCACCGTGTGAAGCCTGATCGGCAATTTCTGCCCAGACCTGGGATGGTAAAGGGGCTGCGGGTCGGGATTGAGGGGCATTGGCAGAACTCTGTGGGTACTGGGGGAGCCCAGGGCTGGATGACTAGCAGGGGCTGCGGGTCGGGAATGAGGGGCATTGGCAGAACCGCCTGGCAGCCATGGCCCTTCCTCTTTCCTAAGCTGTATTTGAGTCCAATCATTCCCAGCTGAGCGAGAAGCCCGGAGCAGGGAGTCAGGGGACAGCCAGCCCCCCGGCACTGCGGGAGGAGCTGCCGCCAGCCCCCTGGAGCAACCTCTCCCCGTGCGCTGCTCCGAGCGGCAGCTGCGAGGCCACGGCTGAGGGCCTCCAGCCCCTGTGTCTGGCTGAGCAATCAGTGGTGCAGTTTGTGCTAATTCTTGCTCAGCCCTCGCAGACTCATGGGCGAGCACGGCGGCTCAGCCCGCTCCTGGCTGCTTTCTCCCTCTTCCGCCTTTAGCACCAGAGCGGAGGACACGGCGGGGTCAAACTCCTGGATCAATGCTGCTTCAGACGCGCTCAATAGGGCCTGCTGCTGGGCGCTGCGCTGACAAAACACCACTGTTATCTAAAAGCGGCCCTGGATATTACAGATCAGCTGGGGCCATGTGACTTCGCGGCAGCTGTTCGGCCGAGAGTGTCAGCCTGGTTTCTGTGGGGAGCAGCGTCTGTGTGCCGCTGCTTTGTTAGATAAGCTCCGAGCGCTCGCTGGGAAGAATGGGGTTTCCCTGAGCGCCGCTCTCTTTTATAATCCATCGCGGGCTACAGAAATTAAACCCAAAGCCCCCGAGCCATCAGCTGACGGAAGCCGGGAGTCACCTGCTGGCCTGCGCTCTGTAAGCTCTTTGATTCTCTACTCTCTCCTTTGCAGGGAAGTGGCCTGGCTGACCTGGGCACCGGGTGGGCGTTTGATTCATTGTTCTGGGGCTGGGTTTCGGAGGAGGGGATGGGAGAAGGGGCCATGCTTTGTGCCCCCGGCGCCATGCGACTCCACAGGCCAGGGGGCGGTTGGCTCGTCGGGCAGGAGGGTTTCAAAGACTTTCTTGCCTTTGGCTGAAATCCTCGGCTATTTCTCCCCTCCCCTTCCCCGCGGAGCCAAAGGGGGAAGCCCAGTTGCTCGCTCAGTGTCCGATCTTGTGAGTCCCGGTGGGATGGTGAAATCAGAGCTTAGATTCACTATTTTTGTCTCTGATTCCCTTCCCTCCCACTGGATTTCGGGAAAAGGACTGAAAGTCCAACAGCTCCTGTTCTAGCAGATCCTAGGCCGGTGCAGCCTGACCCCAGGCCTTCTTCCAAGACGTCTGTGTTTGGGATCTGGCCCCAATGGTCTGCCCGCTGCTGCCTCTCCCCTTTGGGCAGGTCTGCTCCTGCTTTCTTTGGAACCTGCCTGGCATCAGTTTCTGCCTCTTCCCCTCACACGGCTGCCTGTGACTTCCTCCAGATGGGCTCGTTTGTAACGGCGGTCTCCTCCTGGGAGTCCGCAGTGCGAGGGGAGGGGAGGGCGCTCGTAGTGCGCGGGGTCAGCTGGGCTTGTATCAGTATTGATGTGGCAGGCGGGCTCCTTTTGGAGCTGGGACACTGTTGGCATACGGCGTCTTCGATGCAGTTCTGTGTGGGTGGAAAGGATGGTCCAGTGGGTGGAGCACTGAATGGGGATTTGGGTCCAATTCCTGGCCCCACCACAGGTTCTTGGCTGAGTCACTTTCCTTAGGTTCCCAGGGAAGTTAGGAACCTCACGAGCTCTGGGGCCCGGGCCCGTGGTCTCTCAGATGGGGGCAGCGTGCCACTCTGGAGAGGGGCATTGGGAGGGTACCTCAAGTGGGAGACGCTCAGATGCCGGAGTGGGAGCTCCATGTAGCACCCAGAGAGACCAGGGAGGCAGCTGGCCTGGGTGGATGGTGAGCTATGGTGATTGTACATGGTTGCCCCCTTAGGCTGATCCAAGTTTGGGGGTGCAAGCAGAGGAGACTCCCAGCCCTGCTGGGCAACCACTGGGCGCGGGCTTGGGCAGCTCCCTTAAGAGACGCACCCGTTCCCCCACTACCGCCCGGGCTGGCCTTGCTGGGCATTGGGCAGCCGTGACTGGTGACCAGGGAGCTGGGAGACGTGGCTTCAACTGGGGGCAACTTTAGGACAGTCATGTCCCCGTCCCCGTCCCTCGTCTCCCCCTTGGTAAACGGGGGCGCTGCCTTTGCAGAGCGCTTTGAGATCGGCGGCTGGAAAGCCCTGCTGGGTGCCGGGGGTGGATGGCTGCTGGGCTGCCTCTGTCCGTGCCAGGGAGCCGACTGCTGTCGTCTGCCCCGGCCTCTGTCCCTGCGCGCAGTCGCGACTCTCGGGTGACTCGGGCGCCTTCTCTCCCGGTGATCTGGATTGTTCTTTTCGTTGTTTCAGGCATGAGCCATGAGCCAAAGTCACCTTCACTAGGAATGCTCTCCACCGCGACCCGGACCACGGCCACCGTCAGCCCCCTGACCCCTTCTCCTCTCAATGGCTCCCTTGTGCCCAATGGCAGCCCAGCGGCCAACAGCTCCTTGTCAGTCCAGTCAGCGCCTTCCTCCAGCTTCGCTGCCGCCCTGCGCAAACTGGCCAAACAGGCAGAGGAACCCAGAGGTAAGAGAGGAGCAGGGAGAGGGGCCCTGGAAATGACGTCGGGGGGGTGGGGGAGGAGGGAGTGCCTGAGACAGACCCCTCGCCCAGCCCCGCTCTGAGATACTCGCCTAAGGTCGGAGCTGACCCCAGGCACTCACAGCAGCTCCCTTCAAGGAGCCCCAGGCTTCAGGATGAAGCTGAGTGATGGACAGTGGGGGTCAGGCAGGGATTTTCCCGTCCAGCACCGTGCACAGCACCCGCTTTGAACATGGCGGGCGGTGATGGCGTTACTCTGCTCTTCTCGAGCACCTTTCACCCCCGGATCTCAAAGTGCTTTACAAACCTGAATCAAGACTCCCAGTGCCCCCCAGTGAGGCTAGGTTAAGGGATATACAGGGATCATGTCACCCTGTGCTGAAATGCAGCCTTCTCTGGGGTGGAATGTAACAGCTGTTTATATAAGGGTCACTTACCTGGTACTGAAATGCAGCCACCTCTGGGGCGGAACACAGCTGCTGTTGCAAAAGGATTCCCCCACCCCCATGCAGTCACCTCTAGGATGAAATGCAGCAGTTTTTTATACAGGGTTGCCCACCCAGTGCTGAGAGGCAGGTGCCTCTGGGGTGTGGGTTGGCAACTGTTTGTGCAGGGATCACCCACCCAGTGCTGAGATGCAGCCGCCTCGGGGGTGGGTTGCTGCAGCTGGAACAGCACACAGCAATGCTCTGTGCAGTCGTTTGGGGCAAGGAGGGAAGAAGTGTTTGTCTCGCTGAAGCTGAAGGGGGATACTGGATGGGCAGAGTGTTACTTACCGGAGACCGGGCAGGACGCCGGGGTTAACAGCCCCACTGCTGTGATCGCTCAGGGACTCAGGACCGTGGTTTTATGTGAGACAGGTGTGGATGGGCTGCTTGGCAACACCTGTGCGGATCAGTGGGGTGACTGCCTTGGAGCGGGAGCCCAGCAGGCTGCAGGATCAGGCCCTGTGTCTGAGCACAGTGTCTGCCCCTGTGTCTTTGGGATAGGGGGCCCTGTGCTCCCTCGCCCCCCAGGGCTACGGCAGGGCAAGGGCACAATGCTCTGAGCAAAGGGATCTCCAGATCCTGCAAGGCCAGCAATGCAGTTGTAGAGAAAGGCGTTACTGCCCGTCACCCTAGCCTCTGGGCATGTCCCCGTCATTCAAAGCCAATCCAAGGCCCACTCTGACACCCTGTTACCTGTCTCCACTCCCCACTTAAACCCCCTTCCCGATATTAACCCAGACCCAGCTGCGGAGCCCAGCTCTGTGCCCTGGGGGCTCTGTGCCCTGGGGCGCGGGCTGGAGGTGCTCCGATCCCAGCTGTGAGGACAAGGTGCCGGGAGGGCCGTGGCTGCTGTTACTGCTCACTCGTCACACACACGGGACTGCTCTGCGGGGAGCTCAGCTGAAATAGAGCAGCCAGCGTAAACCAAAGCCCTCCCCTCCCGCCGCCCTGGCCCCACCGCCCGCCCCCTCTCTTCTGGCTGTGCCACGGGGAACACATGAGGCCTGGGCCCCCGTGCGGCTTTCCCTAGCCACGGCGCAGTGCCCAGCACTTGGGGGGTGGAACGGGGGCCCCTGGCAAGCCGTGCAAGCGCCACCTGGGGAGCAGCACTGCGCCTGGCCTGGCGCTCCCTGCACCGACCCTGCAGGCTGGGTTTGAAGGCTGTAGCCAGGCCAGGAAGCTGTTCAAGGACTGCGGGAGGTCGTGGTCATGCGGGATTTGTGTTTGCCAGCCCCATTGTGCCCCATCCCCCCCCCTTCAGGGCCTCTGAGGCTGCCTTGCCTTGCCGGCACTGAAGGCTTGGCTGGCGGAGCTTTGCTCCCCTGGAAATGCAGCTTAGACTGGCCAGAGCTTAACCTACCTGCCTGAACGCAATAAGCTAGACCAGCAAATGGGCTTTTGTGCCAGGCTCCCGGCTCGGCACTGGGGCGTGGCCAGCACAGCTCTGTCCCTGGGGGGTGGCAGCTTTTCCGCACTCCTTCCCGACAGCGACGCCGAGCTAACTTGGCCATGTCGGCCAAGCCCCAGCCGCCGCCCTGTCCCTCTGCCGCCGTCCCTTCCTGGGCCCTGGGGCCTGCCTCTCGCGCCAGCCCAGCCCGAGGTGGCTGAGGCCGGGGCCTGTTTGCTTGTCTCTGTGCCAGCCTGTTTCTCCCACAGCCCAAGCGTTCCATAAATCCTGCCAGCCCTAAACCTGTCACATCAACTGTCTGGCAGGCGCCTCTCGCTCGGCAGGGCGGGGGAGCTGGCAGCGGCTGGCTTTTTTCCTGACCTCATTGAATTGTCGCTGAAGGAGCCGCCCGAACGCTCTCAGGGGGCGGTGCTGAGCCGCCCAGTGGTGGTGCTAAGCAGGCACTGACTGGCTGTGGTTGGCAGGACAGGCTCCCTCGGCCCTCGGCGCTGTTCCCTCGCTGCGACGCGCTGGCAGGAGTTCTGGGCAAGGGCAGGGGCTCACCCTGTACCCCGCTGGGCAGCCAGCCCCTGGCTGGCTGGTATAGAGCTGTGCCTTCCTCCCGCATGTTCCATACAGTACCCACGGGCCTTACATTTGGGTCAGAAGCTGCTTCCGGTTGCCCCGCTGGGGTCCAGCCATCGGTGCAGCCCATGCTCGAGGGGGCCCAGCTGCAGGTTTCAGAGCCAGGTCGGATTGACCAGCGAGTGTTTGGACCCAGGGGATTGGGCCTGGCCTGTCTGGGGGTCCCAGTCAGCTGCAGCGCGGCTCCAGGGGTGGGGACCCAGGAGAGACCCTTGTCTTTGGGAACAGCACTGTGGAGAGTGAGATCAGTGACCCCCCCCCGGGGTGTGAGTGGATTGTAGGGCACTTCCCCATGCCTCTGCCCTCCCCTCCAGCCCTCCTTCAAGAAGCACTCTGCCTCCCCTGCCCTCCTCCCCTGCTCCCTCTGCTGTGTTTCCCTGGGGCCTGCCTAGATTGCAGGCCCGTCGGCTCCGGGACCACATCCCTGTGTGCCAAGCGCCTGGCATGGGATCAGCACTGACCCGCAAGGGCAGGACAAGGAGCCGGGCGCTCTGGCTAGTGAGGAGCAGATCTGCGTCAGGAGCAGAGCCATTTCCATCTCACCATCCTTAAATCCTCAGCGGATGTTTTTCTCTTGCTGGTGATGGGAAGAATTAGTACGAACCGTCCATTGGTTCCCTCCACAGAATCAACCTGGGACTCCCCAAAGGGCTGCATCTCTTCCCCGGTCTCTTTGGGCCGGGCCTCCATAGCCCGGATGCTGCATGCCCAGAGCAGACTTGCCCACTGCTAACTCCTTACCCCAGTCCTGCTCCTTGTATCCCTTCGGCTAATCCTCAGCTGAGGGGAACAGCGGGGGGGCAACACGCACAAAACTCAGTCGCGGATGCTCAGGGTTGTGGGACTCTGAGGAACAGCTTTGAAAAGTGTCGGTCTCCATAGGACGGAGCCGCAGACCAAACTTACCAAGAGCTCCCCAATTTGCAGGTGCATCTGCTTGTCTCCCCTCCTGCAAGGTGCGTCTGTAGATACCGGTCCCCACTTTACACTTGCAAATGCTGGGGGGTTGCACTGGCCCACTACTGCCCTGGTCTGCACTTGTGACCAATCTGTGTGTGAGAGGCCTGGGGAGCTGGCACGCGGGTGCACCTGAGAGCCATGCTCCTGCTGTGGATGGTGGGTACGGGATCACCTGGGGAACGCGCTGCCCCTTGTGGCTGTAGGGAGTTTGGATTGGTTGTAGGGCATGGGGCGGGGGGCAAGTCCCAAGGGGGAGCAGTTTCTGTAGCTGGGCTTGGGGTGCTGGGGCCAGGTCCCTCCCTACGGGACAGGGTCAGGATCCTGGGAATAAAGCTCAATGATGCCTTGTGTGTCCCAGGTCCAGGTGGCACCAAACCCCAGGCCCGTCTGGGGCAGCCCGTCCATGGCCCCCGGGTGCAAATCTAGTGCTGGCTTCCCCGCGCATTCCATGCACTGAGCGGCTTGGAACTCAGCTCAGGGACAGGGAGGGTATGGGGGAAAGCCGCCTGTCTGCATCGGGCTGCACCCCCTGCATGGGAGGCCAAACGCCCCGAGCGACCTGCCCTGGCTCTGATCGCTCTGGGTGGCCTGGCCATGGGCGGCTGCTTCCCAGGGAGCTGGAGAGGCCGGGCTTATTGGTGGGCTTAGCCGTGGCCTAGAATCGGGGCTGGCAGGCGAAGGACCCTGCAGAGGCGGGTAGTGGCATTTTGCAGTACCCTGGGCAGCACGGACTAGGAAGACCTCCTGCTGCCCCACGCACTGACTGCTGCTGTGCCCACTGGCAGACCTCTCAATCCTTTAGCGAGAGCCCTTAGCAGGCCCCCAGCCAGGCCTTAGACTGTCCCCTCCCTCTTCTCTGCGGTGCCCAGCGCCGTGCCTGCGGACAGAGCTCTGCCTGCGCGGTGGGACTTCAGCCGACTCGTGGGTCTGTGCTGGCGCCAATCCCTGCGGGGGACTGTGGCCTGGGAAATGTGCCACAGCCCATTGGAGCCGCCCTGCCAGCGCCGTGAACGGGGACGGTGGGTCCCCTGATGCTGCTGGAGCCGGCTGCCCAGGGAGGCTGGAGGGCAGGAGCGGCCAGGCCAAGCCGGGGAAGAGGGAGTTGCTGGGGCAGAGTCTCTCCAAGGAGCTGAGGCAGTCGCAGGGAAGGGGCAGCAGTAGGGGGCAGGATGGAAGCCAATGGAGGGTTGTGGGGGACGTGTCGGAGGCGCAGTGCTGCAGTAGGGGCAGTGTTGGCAGGAGGCGGGCGTGAGGGGAGCCTCAGACCCCCACAGCTGCTAGAACAGTCTGTGTCGGCCCAGATCTGAGTGCGCAGCTGCCCATGCTGGGCACATGGGCAGGGTTGGGGAGATCTAGCCACCCCGTACCCGCTTGTGGGCTCTGCCGCAGTCACAGAAACTGGGGGCAGAGGCGGGGGGAGCCTGGCGTGCACGCACACATGCTCTCACCATCACTGCAGGCCAGTTACACGGCCACGGTTTTCCTTGTCTCATTCCGATAACCCG